TTTTATTGCAGGACAAAGCAGGACCTAGTGAGTATGCTAAACGGGCCGGGTGGTCATCTCAGGTTGTAGGCCCCCTGTCTCTGCAAGATACTACATAACAAAGCAGAACTTGGAATATGCTAAGCGGGTCTAGGTGAAGGTCCAAAAGAGGCCAACAGGTCTTTGTTAAAATGTAAAATAAGCCGTCTGGTTACTTGAAGATACAGACATCCTGTCTCTACAGAATTTGCAGCATACAGTTTCTTAAGTTTCACTCAGTAGAATACAGCAGTCATCAATACAGTTTTAATATGTATAAGCAAGAAAAGTAAGGTATGAAAAGTAACTAAAAGAAAAGAATGAAGAACTGAAAAGTAACTAAAGGAAACTAAAGTTATGAAAAGTAACTAAAGCTTATAAAGTAACTAGGGCCTATAAGAATCAAATCTTACAGGTTCAATGTGAAGAGGAATTAACCAAACAACTCTGAGTTATGAACAGCACAACATGTTAAATCTGACACTGTTTGGCCCTTATCAAAGTTGTTCAGGTCCTTTCGCTTCCTGACTCCAGCACATCAACTCAAGGACTGAATGTTCAATGTTCACTTGCTGCCTAATATACTGCACCCCTTACACTGACAGGTGTCATTATAATGAGATAATCAATGGTATTCACTTCCCCTGTCAGTGGTCATAATGTTATGATCAGTGTATTTTGTTATGTGTTGTATACAGCTGAGCATTTATAAATACTGAATTACTGTTTTGTTCAGAAGACTCAAACATTATACTAGTTGAATCCTATAGTAAACTGGCTATGAAAATGTAAAAGACATTCATACACTCTTTTATTAGTTGTATTTTAAATCTTTCCTATACTTTATTAACTCAAATCAGATTGTACATTTTTGAATGGCAGTACATCTACAATACTGTGACAGAATCATGAAACATGACTAAATGCTGGTGGTGTCAACAGATTCCTACAGCACCCACAAGTTGGCTGTTCTTGAGCTCATATGTCAAACACAGACCAGAGGCAGTATGTCATTTGTGTTATGACTTATTAAAAGCAGATCTTCAATGCATCTTTATGTGTCACTTTTAGGGAATGTATCCTCAGTCTCCATTTCCTTGCCTGTTCTTTCATTCACCTCAGTTGGATTTCTCACATCATTACCAGTGTTTAATGACAACTGTAGATTATGCTGAATGTCCTGCTGATTTAATGGAACTTAATGCTGGGTTAGTTCTGTGAACACTGACATAACATTTTTCCCAGATGGCAGAAGAGGAAATCAGTTATCTTTAATGCTTGCTGATGAGCTGGCACCACAAAAAGGCAGTTATCAGTAGTGAACCAGAATAATAAAAATGGACATAGATGAAGCAAGTCAAGTATATTTAAATTTTAGTAAGGTCCACCAAAAACTAATGGCAGACATATAAAACAGAGGGAGGAATGTGACAGAAATACTGACTAGACTAAACTGAGGCAAGATGTATGGAGACAGCCAAATCATTGCATGCATGCAAACTAGCACAATTAAATCACTGCCACGCTCATGTAAGCAACTGACAAGTTTTTCTTTTTTTTCACATTTCCACATGTAAAGTTCAGTGTTAAGTGATTTGATTGAATATTTTTGGTTTAATCATTGAATGTGAGCATTGTGGCCAGGCATATATATATATAAAATTAAAAACATCTGCAGCTCACTGTGTATATTTCAGTTCTTGTGTGGGTTCCTTTTTTGGTTGTTCCACCAGAGCAGATGTTTTTTTTTTCTTCCATACATTATAGTGTACCATGAAAGAGAAGAGCTCTGCTGCTAATTCTGAGCCCAGAGAGGAATGAGGGGGCTTTCTTAGTGAGCCGGCATCCTCGTAATTAAAGGCCACATCGCGGACAGGCCTCAGACTGTACATGTGGTGTCACTGTGTGGAAGTGGCAAGACATAAAAGCAGTGCGAGAGACTCGTGAACAGAAGGAAAGCAACAGAGTGAGATTTCCCTCTCGTGACTGCAGGAGAGAAAAGTAGAACTCGTGCACTGTACACATAATCGTATACACTTTTGTTGGCATAGGATTTTAATACAAGCGAAATTCCAACAAAATTTATTTACTGTGTAAAACCGTCTTTTTCTGCTCAAAAATATTTTGCATGTCGCTGCTTGGATTTGAAAGCTTGGTTCAGCCGAATTTTCTGGCACCTCTCTGACCGTGACACAGCAGAGAAGACTCCAAGATCTATTTTGTAAGTTTAAGTTGGCTACATATAAGGATAAAGTAAAGAACACTGTAGCCTTAGTTCATACCTCTCCCACATGTGTGCTGGTAACGTTAGTAGGAGCAAGCACTGCAATTTAGGACTAATAAACAATAACATTAACTGTGATAAACAGCAAGGCTATGGCTATTTAATGATACTAGTTTGAGAGACTAAACAAGGAAGTGAGGAACAAGCAGTAGACAAGTGCAGACAAAGAGGGGATATTTGTGCGTCAACATGTGGAGAAGTCCAAAGCGTGATAGGTCATGCTAACAGTTGTTAAGCTATAAGTGAACTACTGGGGTTTAGCAAATGCTGTCTGATTCTTCCTCTAATAAAGGGATTAGAAAAGACATACTGTAATCTCCAGGTGCATATATTACATTTGTTAGATTAACATTCACTTTTGATAGCCAAATCCTTTTGCTATGCAGTTTTCATATGAAGATCCACAGTTTGAGTGACAGCTTTACAGTAACACAGGGAAAGAAAAAAGGATAAAATGCTATGAATGTCACAGCAGATAAAACTGAGAATCAAAGTCAAAATGATAATTTTATACACAACACTGTGCTTTGCATACTTTAGGTTTCGAGTTAAAAATGGTTCAGAAACAATCACAGAATCACAAAATCACAATTTATTGCGAGTAACAGTTAATACAGGTGGTGTCCATGCAAAGTGAAAGAGTGATGAAGGCAAAATTGAACACGTGTGTGTGTGTGTGTAGTTTCTAATCAATGTTACACATTTAATATACAGATGAGGTATGATTGGTACATTTACTGCAATGTACAAGGAACAATCCTACAATATCAAGCTAAGATTTGTAGCATTCTAAAGGCCTTTTGAAACTTAACAAAAATATAAATGCCGCTAAAGTAGTGGTTTATTGTGGAGTATAGCATTTTCTCCCCAGTGTTCTGTCAATGAACATGTCCGTTTTATGTTTTGTCATGAAATAAATACATTTTATTTTATTTTAAAAGAATCTGTAACCAACAGAAACTATAAATATCAGCTTATTTTATCAACACAACATAGAGAATGTTATGAATGCTACTCAAAGGCAATGCTTTTGCTTTCCTTTGGTACCTAGTTTGCTTCTAACTTCAGTACAACATTAACATTAACATACAAGCAAGAAGATGGTTTAATGGTTTAATAACTAAGCCATTAACAATGTATGTAACTTGCATATTGACAGCACTGTGCCCACGTCAGCTTTTACTCTACAACAAAACAAAAATAATTCATGAGTGCTGCATGTCACGTTGATTCCACTGAGGCAGAATAGTCCTCTACCCTGTCCCTGAGAATGTTAGCCCTGTATAGCATTAAATAGTCAGTCTCTCCAAAAAAATAGGAGACTGGCTTTTTTGGGGGGCTATGACAGGATCCTCCTCTGTTAGTCCCAGCCAAAGTCTTGCCCACTCATCTGGTAGAATCTGTGGTTGAAAGGCCTGTAGAAGTCTCTGAGTCTCTGCAGGACCTCAGAGGAGATCTGTGGATGAGGTCTACCCTTAGATTTTCCAAGACAGCGAGGTCTGCTGCTCCCCTCTGGTTTCTTCAAGCAGGGAAAACCTTTGGTCTGGTTGAAGTAAAAGTGTTTGTCTGAAACAACCCTCTTCAGACCCAGGAAGTCCTGAACCCTGCCCATCTCCCCAGCCGGATCAGACACCAACCGCTCACCGCTAACAAACAGAAAATGAGACAAGGGGAAATGCTTGAGCCAGTTCTCCAAATGTTTGGCATACAAACCGATGCGCACAGCACTCCAAGTGGTGTCAATCAGATCTGTGGAGGAGTTTTTCAAGGCCAGGTTCTGGAAGGATGGAAGGCCTGGATTCTTGGACAGTGTCTGGGTGTAGTCAGATACAGCCCGTGTCACAGGATCCCTAACCACCACAATGAGCTTGGTTTGGCAGTTCATAGTGCAGACACGTCTAGGAGCCTCCTTTGTGACAAAGTAGCTGGGGGTCTTCTCCATGGTGATCTGGCCTTCCAGCGTCCGAGGCATCAGGTTCCTGAATAAAACACAGAAAGTAGTCAGACACAGAATTCAAATTTATTTCTCAAAGCCAATAGTGAAAACTATTTCACACTTTGATACACCTGGCATCCACAGTTATGTTTTTAAAGCAGTATTACAGTTTTTCTGAATTGCTAAAGCACGTTTCTTGAAACCACCACTCATTTTCTCAAAACCTTAAACACAAATCGAAATACTCAAACTAAATTCACAAAACCTCTGACTCATCTGGCAAAATCAAGCAATTGCTTCAAAACCATGTCACCAGCACTCAAAATCAAACAATGCTTTCAGATCATACACAAATGAGACACTACATCAAAAAAAGGAGAACCCAACATCCAGGACATGTAGTTACAACAAAAAAAGTTTATTGTATAATGAATTTACCAAAAACCATGTTACGATCAAAAAAGAAGAAGAAAAACACATCAGAAAGATTATTCTGCCTCAGGATCACATCTTTGAGCTGGGCCCAGCCAGAGGACTTCATCTACGTCGCAGGCAATGTTGTCCCTTCCCAGGCAACGGGCAATAAACCCTCTGGTGTGGCGGATCCAGCCTTGACAAGACTGCATGTCTATCTCACCACAGGCCAGTTCCATTGCCTGTAAGAGATTTTCCCTGGTATATGGGTTTCGGTCATAGACTTTCCACCGCCATGCAGAGCAAAATTCTTCTGTTGGGTTGAGGAAAGGGCTGTATGGTGGAAGGTCTTACTCTTCCTCGTCCTTTTTGTCCAACACCTCATATTCTTCTACCTCTCATATTGTTACCCATAGTTGATGGATGTACCCGTGCCATCTGTGCACTTTGAACTGGCTTATGATTTGTACCTTCTCATCATATAATTAAAATGTAGTGCTTTAGTTGTGTTCTGCTGTCCTCTGTTTAGTGTTTTGCAACACAGGTTCATCACAGTGTGAATTGTGTTTAGAGTTTAGCAAAAAGAGTGCATGAGATTTGCAAACTGTGTCTAAGTGCCTGAACTTGTTTAAGGTTTTGCAGAAAGAGTGATTTATTTGACAAATTGGTTTAGGCTATTGAGAATTTGGTTCAGAGAATGGGGTTTATTGTTTTAGCAATTGTGAAAAGCTGTAATTGATGTTTTTAGCAACTCTTGGGTAGATGCAACACTGACATGTTACCACAACCATATAAAGTTCATATCGCTAATGTGTACAGTTCCCAGTACATCTGTAAGCAATGCTAATGAGAGTGGTGCAACTGAACCAGAACAGTGAAGTTGTGAACTATAAAATAAAAACAATGAGCTAAAAGATGTTAAACACACTTTTGAGCTAAAGAGAACTGCAGTGAGGTGTTAATTCACTCTGGGTCCATTGCTAAGCGTTACCACTTCACATCACACACAGTCATTTGATCCATGGTTAGCCCAAAAAACAAAAAAAAAATGACTAGTGCAGCTTTAAAGAGAGAGTTGACTGCATTATTACTTCACAGTTAAATCTTAAAGCACCACAACATCTGTGTGATTAAAGCTTCAAACACTGTACTGTGTTTTTGTCCCGTACAAGGGGCTCAGACAGCCCTTCTGAGTCTCACTGTAAGGTCTACACAACAAGACCATTTACTCACTATAGGCCAGATGAGTCAAAACCACAAAGCCTCAAGAACCACTTAACAGCAATTTCCTACGGATTCCCAAGCCCCCTTCTTCCTGCTAGAGCAAAGGGTCCCCTCGTCACCACCCTCATCTCCCCTATGGGTTCCTGCAAGAACCCAAACAGACCAAAGTGTGCAGGAAGTGCGACCAGGATGGACAGTTGCCGAGCTCAGCTGGTGTGTTAAACATATGGCTGCAATAATGAAATATGCTGGGCAGAATGACAGTGAAAAGGCAAGTGTTGAATTATGTGTTGCTATATTGCAGAGAAATATTTAGCATAATTATTGTATATTGTATTGTAGCATTTGGAACTCTACACAGATTCTATTTATTTATCTTCTTGCCCTACATTTAATTTTATCTTTGTTTTTCAGGTTCTTTTTTACAAACAGTGTAATATCAAAGTAGATGGCCTTGCCTGTTTCACAGATTGCTTTTTACAGCCCTATCTTGCAAACAGGCAGTGTGGCTAACATGGTATTTGACATTTCCTATATCTTACACTGACAGACTGCGTGAGGAAGAGTTGTGGAGGGTCTGGATGTCAAAAAACTAATTGATTTGCATGAAAAATAGAATATGAGCTATGTCTGTAGTTCATTTACCCAAGACACTTTTAATGTGTTACTAGGAAAAAGGACCTTTCATAAACAAGTAATGACGTCTGTGTTCTTTGTTTGTTACTTCAAATATCAGTGACAAGAGACCATTCACAAATGGCTGATGGGCACCCAAGGGGAAATTTATTTTATTTTGCAAGCTACTCTAATGAGTCTCTGCTGTTACACACCAATTTGACAATTATTTTAAAAACATACTATTCATAAAGTAGTGGTTCATTAGTCCATTGTTTTGTTGCATATGTTGGCATAAAATTAACCATTGGTAGCTTTTAAGATGAAAAAGTGTTAAAGAGTTAAAAAAGAAACAAACCATGTTTACCATGTAAGAAGATTAGCAAATATAAAAACAGCTGAGAAAAAAAAATAAGGCTTGTGAAATTGACCCTCCAATATATTTAAAGTACAACACAGGTCAGTGGTTGACTGTGGTTGAAAGCAGCAGTCAGAAGTCAAAGTACAGGTTCACTGACTGAACAGTTGTTTTGTAATCAAATGCAGCAAATCTAATGCAAATATGCTTCTCTGGTTATAAGAAAGTATTTATTCACACATGTAGAGCCCATGATCAGTGAGAAGAATGAAAAATAACCTGGTTGGAATAAAGTTGTTCCTGAGTCAGTTTCAAGTTTCAGTCCTTTACTTAAAGTTAAGCCATTTCAACCAACCCCCATCAAGTGCTCCCCATAATAAAAGACCATTAATTGATTGTGATCCAATGACAGTGGTCTGTCCCTGCCTGTCTGTGCCCCGTTTATCTGTGTCTGATCAATACGTCTGTCTCTCTATGACAGATGTGTCAGGTGTCGCTGTTTACTGAGCATTCATCTCCCTTTCTGTCCTCTCCTTTCTCATCCATAGTCCTCCCAGATTTGTCCTTCACTCCTTCTCGTAAGTGTCACTTCAGTCATTGACCATAAGTTGTCTTTTCATGCTCATGAATAGTTAATGAATTGTGGCTTTGCCCCCTCTCTCCTTGGCTCTCTATCTCCCTCATCACAATATGTCTCATTATCAGAGAATCAATAAAAGCCATTTTCTATTATAAATCTGTCAGGCAAAATGTAAACAGCTCAAGGATGATTCATCTGTTGTCAATTTTTGCATGCCTGTAAATCTATTGTCATGTTATATGTGTTTTAAAACACTTCTTTCATGTGCAGTGTGCAGAGTGAGTAACTCGGGGCATGAAAATGTTTGCGATTTAGCTCAGTATTGGAAAGCCTTGCTGACTAGCCACATTAGTCTGGAACTCCCTGCTGTTTAAAGGATGTAGTGCTTTTCCTCCCTGAAGTGCTACAGCACTGATTACACTACTGATATGTTCTAGGCAGTCTGGATCAGAAAATTAAATACTAACACTGGCAACAAGGATGTGGCCAAGAGACTTCCTTCCCTCTAGATTATGGGTTCTCCCACTGTAGTGCTGCAGCTACATCCCCTGTAGTGCCCTAACAAAAAGCATGCTGCATGGAAAGCGGAGCTGATTGTACAGAAAGAGATACTAAAAATCCAATTATCATGTAATTTTCTGAAACAAAAACAGATGTGAAATTCCATGGATTATTATATTCATTTACTGAAACATCTATGCTGAACACTGACTTGCTGAAGGAGACTTTTGCTCTGGCAGATGTCTTTATGTTCAAATGCTTTCTTAGCTGAGGCCCAAATAAGAAGGCAATGGAAAATCTAGCCTGGAACAATGAGAAGCAAACAAAAAAATGAAGGAAAATATTTGCCAGCAATGCATTTATGCTCAGAGGTTGATAGGAGCACGGACGGCACTTCAGGTTATCTGGATAAAACATTTGCTGCTTTCCCCCCCTGAACAGAAAACAACTAAATAAACCCAAGTTCAAAATAGAGTAATTTAAAGGAAGAGTGACATTTAAGAACATATCAACATGCCACTGACACTGCTGATGTGATGCCACCCACAAGAGGAGCCATTGAGGGCAAATGTCGCCATGCTGTCTATGTGTTCTTTGTCTGAACAGAAACCTGAGCGAACGACAAGGCCACAGAGTGGAATGAAACACAGATTAACAAGGATAATGTCAAAAGTAGCCTGAGGATGGGCTTGAGACTGAGCAGCAATGTTACACAGTCTTTCACATCTGCTAGTGGAATACTGTCTACCAGCTCTTAATATTCAAACACACACAATTATGCTTGATGTACTGTTGTATGTGTGACTCAAGCGTCAACCCAGTGGTGGATTTCAAGCATTTGGACAACTTTCTGCATAGGTGGAGGGAGGAAGTGGGTGTTAGCTCCCTGTGGTAATCAACAAGACAAAAAGACTGTTGCCACCCACAAATTTTAATGCCACTGCTGTCAGACAATATTTTTCCCTTTGAATAATGATATTGTAATGGAGTAACAGAATGGTTTTCTCAACAGGAGGTTAGCTGAAGTGTCATATTCTACAGAGACTACAAGTGTTTTACATTTTCATCTTTGGTGGTTTACAGCAGGCAATGAGTGATTGCAATGAGGACGAATGTGTGTAAGAGAGGGGATGGCTGGATAGGGGGTAAAACCATACACGTGTGTCTGTGTCTGGGATACAGGGGTGCTTTTCTATAAAGAAATGAAATATATTTTGATGGTTGATTGCTAATTAGTGACTATAGAATGTGAGCGTCCAGTCATACCTAGGAGTCTTAACAGGAAGGGAGGTTAGTAATGGCTTCAGCATTTGGCACATTAAGGTAGGGTAAGACTGCTGAATAGGGTATTGGTTGAAAAGTTTCTATAACAGTATCAGTACCACAGCAACACTGTGTTTGTTATCTCTTGGTCAGGGATATAAAAATGTTTTGTTTTTACAAAACGTCTTTACAGTATAACAAAATAAGTGATAAGTATCTCAACATTGACTGGACATTTACTGTATGTACCCCTCATGATATACTGTAACAACACTGGTGGTCCTCTGAATTTTTGCTAGCCATCATCAGGTCAGAATTTTAATTTCTTCAAAACTTATGAGACTTATGATAGCATGCTAGGCTCACACACCAATATAAGAACATGATAAACATTACACTTGCTAAACATCAGTATTAGCATTGTCACTGTGGGCAAGTTAACATGGTTATATTAGCATTTAGCTTAAAGCACTGCTGTGTTTTAACAGCCCCACAGTTCCGCAAGCATGGCCAGAGGATAGCCACACACAAACCGAACCTGGATAAATTAATCAGTACAATTTTCAGAATCACTGTGTTAATCTGGAACTGACCATTCAAAAAATAAGTTCACAAGACTATGAATCTGACAAACACCAGGGATAGTCCAAGCGCTAACATTTCTCTGATGATAAACGTTATGATTGCGGCTCTCTTGGCAGTTCAAACTACCAAGCAAATAAAATATTTCATTTTGTCCAAGTGAAACAAAACCATTCTTTCTACACAAACTATTTTCCTCACTAACTCCAGCATAGAGCTAAAATGACATGACTGAAAACCTCACAAGATTTTACAGGTGCCCCAATTTCAAATGATTATAATTTCCACCATATGGGGTGTTAAGTGTGGGCCTTTTCAAACCTTATAACACCCCCTGTAGCCACAACCAAGGTCCATTAACACAAACTACAACTCAACAGTACAGAGACCACTTCCTGGCCTGTTATACCAATCAGCTGCATTCAGCCTCTATAATTAATGACATCAGGGCTTGATGCAAAATGAGACACTGGGAAAATCACCACTTCTGCAAGACATTGCCCCATGCACATTTGATTCCACTTTTATAACTGTCAAAAATTTGACCTCTGGCAAATAAAATAAGGCATAAATACAGTGCTAGGATTATTTTAAACAACACAGTCCCAAATACTATAAGCACATAATTAAATCCTAAAGGCTAATAATGGAGGAAAAAAATAATATTTACTGTTTTAAGTATTTTATCAATTAATTCACAAATGCAATACATATTGGGTTTTTTTTTTCAACTGAATGGATCACAAATACACAACTGTAGAAATCTAACTGCTGCTTTTTTTATAAACTAAGAGAGAATAAATCCTATAAAATGAGTATTATATTTATTATAATTTTTATTTACTCAAAAATATGTATGTAATCAAAGGGTGTTTTGATATTTGTAAATGTTGAAACAAAAAATCGTGATGATAAGGTGGACAAGTAAATGGATGGAGAGGATTATATGAATTTGTTTTGGCTTTTTTTGGAATTAATCTAATTTCTAATTTAACAAAATTGATCCAATTAGTTTGATGCACTGTATATTTAAACACAGCATATGAGACATTATCCTAAACACCAGCATACCTGTCTCTTATTTTCACCTGTCATCACTTCACATTCTTATTTACATAAATCTTTGTCTTCGTAAGAAGCCGTGTGCTGACATTTCTCCTCACCCTTGTGCTGCTGTCCTTAGAGGATTTGTACTATATTTTAATAGCAATCCAATCGAGTATGGCCTTTGATGTCAAGACTGTAGGTCAGCCAATTGACAGGCTTTCAAAATACTGATGAGACTTGGAATTTTTCCTCATATAGAAATGCATATAAGATCTTTTTTTTAATAAATGAAATATATAGAGTCAGGTATTTATTTTCTATTATGTTAATTTGGCTCTTGGCTCAAAAACCATATAACTGCTGCAAGACAACAAAAACACATTACTTCATTCTAACATCATCATGGAAATGAAGATTAAATTAAAAGACTATGAGTTACTCCTTCCTGGCCAGGTGATGGTGACAAATCCGTGACAATCAGAGCCACTGTCCCATGGAAAGTTGGCGTCTCTCAGTTTTCTGCGGTGACGCTCAAGTCCCATATGAAACTCATCACTCATTTAAGTCTCCTTAAAACCATAAAACAACACAGAAATCATTACATTTTTGCTTCTTTTTGAATCCATTATTTGTGGCTTTTCCATTACCATGGACTCATATTGTATGCACACATAGAGGACGGGATGGAGAGACAAAATGGGTGGAGAGCAAAGAGACACTGGATGGATTCATTCAGATAAAAGCAATGGAAAACATACACAGATGAGGTTTAGGTTTGTTCCACAGATGACAATGCTGCTGGCAAAACAAGCTTGAGAAGTGTCTTCAGGTTGTTTTCATCAAATATGTCCTCTGTTTTCATCAAATATCTGAGAGCAGAGGCTTTCAGATGTGCATGACTGTGCATGACTCTCATCCCTACACTGGTGCTTATTTCTCCATCCTAGACATGTTTGTTAAATCAAAATAGCTTTGAAAACTTGGCACTTGCAAATCTTGAAACATTTGTTCATAATGACTTTTAAACTGATTGTTGCTTTAGAAAAATCTGACATCACAACAGAATGTTAAGTTGCTCATGGAGTTTTTGTTCTTCTGTTTTGCTTCAATTAATTTAGATAATTATTTTGCTAGACATCTTAATAATCTCCTTGCCACATATAATAGTAAAATGAATATCTTAGCATTGGGATATTAATTAAACATAACAAGTAACATGACACCTTGGGCTCAATTTATAATGGGCATTTTATGATAATGAAATGAATCACTTTTTGTAGCCCTTGTTATGAATGATTCAATTTTCACAAGTTATGTTGGTGTTGCTGCTGTGAAACTACAGTACTAAAGCATAACAGTTTAAAGCGCCAATCAGGCTAATTAAAACCCACAAAAACACACATTAAAAACATGGCCTGGGAACACCAGGTCTCCCACAGACTCTGGCTAAGCAAAAGGAATAGTAAGGAGAAATGAAACTAGGTGTGAGGGGGGAAAGAATGAGAAAACATGGAGAGAAGGTTTAATAAAAAGAAAGTGAAGAACGTGGGATGTAGGACGGGTTACAAATGTGGTAGCAGAGGAGAGAAGTGTAGAAGAGAAGTAATAGATGTGGGAGTCTTTGTGTGCACAGAGAGAAAAAGAGAGTAGAGGTTTAGCAACATACAAAAATTATCAGCGGTGAAAGTGTTTCCGTGTGTCCTTATGTTCTGAGTTAAAACCCAGCCAAGGGGGTTAAGAAAAAATGTCAGGAGAGGTTTAAGTTACACCTTAGAACCATCTTGTTATCAAAGTGCTCTATCAAATCTCACTCTCTCCTTATGTCACCTTGAATTCTAAGCTCACGGGTCCAAAAGGTATTCTGACCATGCAGAGGGCTTTGGGCTCAGCTGGGACCTTTCTCGGGAGCTTGTAGAACATCTGGAGATGATCAGGACCTAAATCTTTCCTTAGGGCCTTAACTACACACACATGATAGCTGTGGTCAGCCTGGTCACCCCAAATCAGCTGCTGTCACTGCAGCAGCATCTGATGAAGGCCTAATGTGCCTTCATCTCTATTTTACTGTAAATTAGTTACATGCAACCAAAGCCATTACATCTGACCAGGACCAACGATGTAAATAAGGTTAATATCCTTTATATTTGGCTTCTTCTGCAGTGCCATTCTTAACAAGGTGGGAATGATAATACAGGATGTCATCTTGAAGTGTATAAATGGTGTTAAAATGACTGGCGAGATGATGAACTGCTCCTCTGGGACCTCAACGCCTTTTGATCTACAGTGCAGTGCGCAATGGCCAGTGCTTATCAGAATGCATCAGTCAGTGAGTGTGACTGTCCTGTCTGTTGGCAGGAGGCGTCAGCTGAAGGGACATCTGACTCTTCAGCCTGCAACCATACACCTCCCAGCATTCACTGGGTGACATGCCGTCCAGAACTTTATGGTAAAGATTTCAATCTTGCCATATTCTTATTGGCACTCATGCATGTTGTATTCATTGGTGAATTTTAAATTAATACATTTGTGTTTATCACAAATTAAACCTCGAGCTTTATGATTTCATAAGAGGTTGTAAAAAAAAAAAAAAAGTGAATGCAAATGTCCTCGTGATTAAAGCCTGGCGTCACCTCCTCATGCATGTGTTTTGTTTGCGTTCCGTACCTGTACCACTCCAGGCCTTTATCATAAAACCTGTCGAAGAAGTGGGGCTCCGCGCCGACCGCTCTCACGTCCGGGTGAATGCGGAGAAATTCCAGCAGTGCCCGGGTCCCTCCTTTCTTCACGCCGATTATAATCGCCTGTGGAAACCTTTTGCTTCCGAAAGTGTTAGACACAGGGATACCGTTGTTCTGGGTGCTCTCTTTTGCGCTGTCTGATGTGTGATGAGGCAGCTGATCCTGTGCGCCCACCTGCTCTGCGTCCGCGGAGGCTGTGCTGTTCTGGTGAGAGTGCGCGTCGGGGAAGAGACGTGGCGATGGCCGCATGTCATCCAAAATGCGACGATGATCGTCCAAAATAACATAGTCCTTGTCTAAAGCGTGTTGACTGTGTAAAGCTCTCGGAGCCGAATCGCAAAATCCGGTAAGGCAGTAGAAGAAGTAGGTGAAGATCAGGACCATGGTGAAAAACACCGAGACTTTGGACAGTGCCTTACCAAAGTTGAACCTAACTCTGCCTCCACTACATCCCATGAGTTGATCTCCTGCTCGATGCCAAAGGGCCAGAACGGTGACAGCATGCTTCTTCTTCTTTCTACATGGATCGGAGTTGATATTAAATTTATCTTGCAGAACCTGTTGCGCAAAAGTGAGGCATCACACGGAGAGCTCCTCTCAGCAGAAAGAGAGTACAGTGGATTTGTCACAGATAATTGTCATAGTCTTTCGGAAAGGAGTGGTTGAAATGAATCCTTCTCAGTCTACAGCATCATTTAAACTCACTCGTTGCTTTGCAGTCAGAGGAGACTCTCCTGCTGTATCTGAGCGCTCTGAGGTCTGATCTCTCATTCTGGGTTTCTTCTCTCCTTTTCCTACGCCCGTTTTTTTTTTAACGTCTCCACCCTTCCTTCCTCAAGCTATTGGATAAACACGCCTCATAGGGAGATGAAGTGCACATACAGTAGAGGCTCTGGTCTATAGTAGCCTAATGTGGCAATATCATTCAGATATTTGTATTGATAACTTAAATGACATTATTCATTATCATATAAAACCATTTGATGCATATTAATGAGAAAGGAGAAACCCCAGTGAGAAAACGTTATCTTTGGGATTTGTAACTTTATAGCTTCCTGAGATTTACATTAAACTGAACTACTTTGTTGAACGTTTTTTTTTATTTTTATTTTGCAACATGAAACGTCTTGAGCACTTTATTATGAGCTCCAGGCACATCAGTGTTTTACAGATGTAAGATGACCCCACAGAGGAAAATCTTCTTTGCCCCTTTGAACCCATATGATATACAGTATGTGTCAGTCAGCCCTGAGGATGTCTGTCCAAAACCTCTTGTACTCTCTCTGCAGCACTGAACCAGTACATAGCCAACACACACTCACCGGCCACTTTATTAGGTACACCTGTACAATTGCATGCAATTCAGTGCAACTCTTCCACCTTAACATCTGTGTTTATGAAGCTCAAAATGTTTTTGGCAAAACTGTCATAAATGTTTCAATTCAATAGTATATTTATTATTGAGGTCCTAGTTAAAGGTGGTGTTGTACTGGACTACATTAATATTTAGAGGTGTCACTATATTTTTGTCCTCCCCAGCTATGTAAATGAGAAGGTCAGAATATTAGGAACACCTCTGAATATAATGTAGTCCAATATGGTACCACCTTTAAATATGATATCAATAATAAATATGTTATTGAATGTATATATTTATGACAATTTCAACAAAAACTGAAACATTTAGATGTTAAGAACCACAGATGTTAAGGCAGAAATGTTGCACTGAATTGCATACAGGTGTACCTAATGAAGTGGCCGGTGAGTGTGTAGTGACACGTTTCCTGACACAAACCTTCCAAAACCATAGGCCAGAAGTGAAGAGTGATTGCTCTGTCTCATAAATATTGTATTTGAGGCTGAATGTGTTGCCTATGGGCCTGTGCATGAAGGACCAGCACCGGGATGTTCCCCTGATTCTGAAAAGCTGTGTCCCTTTGTTTAGGCTTAGTCTTTTGCATAAAGCTGTGTTAACCAGCTGTATATTTAACATCTCCTAACAGGCTTTTTACCCCCAAAGGTCACATATTTGGTATACCCCTGTCCCCTTTGGCCAAAATAACCTTCAGCACCTTAGCTGATGATTTGCTTGTTTGAGTCACACATGATTTTGCATTCCTATGAAATGCAGACTGGCCCCTTGGGTAGAAGCCCATCTCCTGTTTCTGCAGCATGAAACAGTTTGACACACACACACATAGACACAGGCACAGACACACACACAGACTCTCTCAGATACACACTGGCCTCCAGGATTTCACAGGACAGGTGATACTACTTTAGTAGACCTGGCTCAACAGTGAGGCAATGGACAGAACAGTTTTTTTTTCCTTTTGGGGATGACAGCTCTGTTTTCTCACAGTCAGTGTGACAGGCTGGAATTCAAATAACATGGGAAACTCCAAAAAGCAGAGAGAAAACTACTGTGGTTCTACAGCAGTAATTACAATATGTTAACACCCATCTGATGACTGTGTTTAATTCACAGAGACTGTCCATGATTTGTTTACATAAATGAACACATAGCCTCTGGTAAAATAATGGGACATTCACCCAGCTGCTCATTCACACGCATCTTTGTCCATTCAGTGTTTTTGGATGAGCTGAGTGAATGTGAAAATTAATGAGCAAATCCATTTGGGTGGCAATTCTGGCCCACTAACAGTAGCACAGTGTTCGAGCCAACCATCCATGTCAATGAATTGTAAAGATGGAAAGCAAGTTGTTTTTCACACACTGGGCGGAAACAGATGTTGACAGACACGTAAAAGGCACTACTGCAGTTTGGAGCTGGTGTCATGGTAATCAACATTTAAGACAACAAGGTCTTTAAATGAAAGGAAACCACAAGGAGTAGCCCACAAATATTTCAGTAAGTTACAGTCTGTGGTATATGCACACGCAGAGTGGAACAACAGACATCCACAGCAATGTGAATCCATGCATAAGAATGTAAATGCATTAAACTCTCTGCACGCACATGTACACATGTATCCGGACAGACACATACTACAGTTTGTTTCATCTTCATGATTCTGTCAGATTTGCAGCCACACGTCTTGAATGAATCCCTCAAAATGAGCTTGGAGGCATGAAACTGTATATTCAGCCAGTCACAGTTGTCTCTGTTTAACCTTTTTCTCACTGTTTTTTTCTCACTCGCATTCATCTTCTGTCATGTAAACACAAACACATATAGACCATTGAACTCCTCTCACACCCTGCTCTCCCTGCACCTCCACCCTTCTTTAACACACCCAATATCACTTAGGAGCCAATCATCAGGTTCCACTTTTCACTAAAGAGCTGTGGATTAGAAACGAAGGCATTTCCCAAATGGTCTGTGGCTTCTGTGATGACATGATTGTCCATCGGTTTAATTCCCTCTGTGCTCTTTAGAATCCTGCACACCTGATTCTACTGTTACAGTAAAGCACCCAGAGAAGGCAAATAACAGTTTTAAAAAACACAAAGCTCTTGTACAGACTTGCTCCCTGGAAAGGTATTTTAGTTTTTACTGCCAGGATGAAAGACACATTGAAAATTGCTCTCTACAGCTGTTTTCTAGTCAAGGACAGTTACATGCATTTTAGTTTATGAGAAAAGTATCTGTGGGCTTATACAGTATCTCTGTACATGTACATTACCTACATAATTTAAACCACTTGCATTTGGGTGCTGCCCAAATATAAACCTCATGAAATTAGAATGAATCACAGCAAACTTTTGTTCAGATTTGAATTACTTCCATGTAAACTTGAGACATTATGTGAGTCTAACCCTGTTTAATGCTTCAAGGCCACTGAGAATGGAAGTTCTCCTGAAGGCAAAAAAGACCAATGCACCTGTGTGAAAGTAGAAGGAAACAAGGACTGGAGGAGGGGAAGGCAAAAGGAAGATGTGGGGGGCTGAAGATTGTCTGTGGATAGAGAGATCAGAGTGTTTTTGTTTAGTCCTCCATCTCCTTGTCCATCCATCATTCTTACTACGATTCTGATGAAAGTAAGGGAAGGCTCCAGGAGAGGGGTGGGGTTTCCCCATCACTTTGTTGTTGGCTTTTGTATTCACTGATCGCCTCTACCTGAGGGCTTGACCATTCAGCATCTAACATGTAGCAGAGAGGAGGCTGTGTGACATCTTTTGTTTCTTCAAAGGAGCTAGATGCACTTCGGACACTTCAGTTTGAGCATTAAACTAAATAGTTTTGAGATCCCACCTCTTTAGACTAATAGCCACACCACTGCAAAGGAAACTAGATGAAAAGTGAATTTATTCAATGGTCATAAAGGCTACATCTAATCCAAAACAGTAGAAAAACACTCTATACAGCTTCAATCTGGAATCTGTTACTAGCAAATATCTCATTGATATTCATTCCAGACACAGTAAAAAAGCATCAGGTTCATTTATAGGAAACTACAGCCACTAAATGAGAATCTCCTGGGCAGTAGTTTCAAAGCTCTGTCATGATGGCTTAAAGGATTTTGCCAGGTATCTCTTCTTCCTGATACTGGTAATTACAAAATGAGACTGGAACATTTGACTTTTGCTGGAGAAGATTTGTAATTTGCTGTAATGGTTGACACATGTACACACAATCAGCAGGCCCCTAGCTATGGAAATCATTATCAGGGGGGCACACAGGGATGTAGCAACAGCAAACACCATCAGGTGTGACAGTTGGATGCATCATTGCTCAAATATGAATGTGACCACCTAATATGCACAAATATACACAGAAACACATCTACACAGAGACACTTTTTCAACCTTAGACCTATACATACAGTTCATAACTTGCCTGTTGTTTGTCTCACTTTTTACATTTCTGGCCCAAACTCATCGGTTTAACTGCATCTAGAGAAATTAGCATGAGGGAAAAGCAAATAAAATGTCTGGAGTCTGACCTCATTCTGACTCGAGCTGCCATTTACTAGCAGACATTTACTTCCAAAGCTGTGAATTCCTCAATGCCAGACTGGCCTCTTTTTGGAGAGACTGACAATGGTTGTTCGTGCTTCAAAACATATCATTATTCTATATTTGCCAGTCACGTCTGTATCCACAGAGACCTTTGTTTGAGCTGGGGGGGTTTCTTAAACTTCTTTTACATTTTAGAAGGTGGAAATTGCAATCACAGACTTGTTATTTTTTTATGTTCATGCCTGTAATCTAATCATGAAGCTATAGCCAGCAGCCAGTTAGTGTAGCTTAGCACAAAGGCTAATCTAAAACAAAGAGAACCAAAGTTCATTTACTAGCACCTCTAAAGCTCAATAATGAATTTGTTAATTTTCTCTGCAAAGTGTAAATGACAGATTATTGTTTTATGGATGGTTATTTGATATTTGTTGTCTTTGGACAGAACCAGTCAAGACATTTCCAATATTTTTGCTAAGCTAAGCTATCTGGCTGCTAACTTTGCTTTATAGGTTATA